TCAGACACGTTGCAAAGGGTACCGGATGTTGTCCATCAGGAACTTAGCCCATACGTCGCGACTCCAACTACACCGGTTGACACTCCTGACTCTGAATTACATACAGAAACACCGATTTTTAACTTTGATTGGGCGGCTGAGCAACACGTACCAAATTTGAAAATTACCTTTCGTAGTTCGAATCAAGGGCTTAGGAAAGTTCAAGATGTCCAGCCGATAACATTGCAGTTACCACGCAAAAAGGGCCAGTCCATGAACGACTCTAAAGACTTTCCAAAATGAGACTGTGCACTTGTTGAGTTGGTGCTTTACGACTAGATAGGCAAATATTTTTTTTTTTTGTAATTAAGTATAAAGAGTTTGGAGGTTCAAGTCTCTGAACAGAATGGAAGATACTAGAGACTGAGCTCAGCTAAAGGCTGATTAAAAGATATCGTTATTGGTAATGATAAATTATTTAAAGTTTATCTCTTAAATTTTAAAGAGGTTTAATATAAAATTGGTGGCAATTGATCCATTAAACCAGTTCCTAATGCAACAATATAAAAAGACTTAGAGTTTGAACGATATTGTGCAATATTATAGTTATTTCTTTACGAGACTAATTGAATTAATGTTAAATTCGAAAGCTAGTGCAATGTAATCGTTTTATTTTAAGGATCAGTTGTTTAAATTGTTTTTGTTGGAACAAAAGACTATCAGTATTAAATGAAATTTGTTTCCTGGTAACAGAGATTTATAGGTGAGATGCCATAAGTTATTAGTGTAATAATTAATGCAAGGTAGAAGTGACAAGTTTACAATATTTGTAGTAAATATTGATCGAAAGAGAACGAGAGTACCTAACTTTTAGTATTAAAAGAAATACTTTAATCTGTTCTTAAAAATCGTGGTTTAAGAGAAATTTTTTAAAAAATCGAGTCATAGTTTTTTAGAAATTACTTTCACTTTAATATAACATTCAATATTGAAGAACACATCAACATAACAATTTTAGTTTTTTGAAAATGTGTTTAATAAATAATAATCATGTTCTTTGTATAAGCTAGCAAAAGTACAGTGACATTTGTTGAAAAATAATGTCCGCTAATAAAAATAAGTATTTAATTAAAATCAGATGATTTCACGAACCATCCCTAACACTGACAGGATCGAAACGGCAGAAGTTATGCTTCGAATAGATACAGATAAAACAGAATAAAATATGTATGTATAAAAGATAAAGCATGTATGTATAAAATAAATAAAAAACAATATATTGCGTGAAAAGATGAAATAAAGCCATGAACCTAAGAATAATGGGGCGGAACATTTTTATCAGGGGTTGGTAATGATAACAGCATGGAGGTGAGTGGCGTCATCGGTGTGAAAATGCCCAAGTTTGTAGTGAAAATAGTTCCCACTGATTCTGTGAGATGGCGCAATCGATACATTTTAGTCAATTAATTTTATAAATTCATAATTATTATAATTCTTTGCTTTATAACACTACAATACATTATTTTAAACATTTATTTGCTTTTACATGTGAAAATGCAGCAATTATCGACCCTTCAGTTAATGCCGCCATCTAGAAGCAACAATAGGATCTATTTTTTTCATTAAAAACTTGGGCGTTTTCCCATCGATAGCGCCACTGATATAGTTCTAAAATTCACTGAAGTTCAATGTGTACATTGTACAAATAAAAACGCGTAACCTCTATTATATTTAATAATTACTTTAAATATCCCTTTCATTTCATCATAATAAATTTTATGACTTAATATAAGTTTAAAACAATGATAATATAACATAAATAGAGAAACAATGAGTGGTGGTGTTGTACCCAGCAAATCAACTGTTTACATTTCAAATTTACCTTTCTCATTGACAAACAATGATATCCACCAACTTTTACAAAGTTATGGAAAAATTGTAAAGTAAGTTATAAAGTTGTCACTCTTGAGTTCATTTAAAAACTTATGTCCATCATTTACATCGACTAAATAGATGATAATAACTCAATATTAAATATCTTCCTATTCATCCATTCCTATTCCTAATATTCCTATTCTTAATCATTTAATTACATGTTTGGGAGCATGATACCTTTATTTATTTGTCTGCAGAGTGACAGTAATGAAAGACAAAACTACACGACGAAGTCGTGGTGTTGCATTTGTATTATTTCTTACTCCAGAAGATGCTTTTGCCTGTGCTAAAGGTTTGAATAACACAGAGGTAAAATATATATTTTATATAATGGAATGGCTTGTCTTCAGTTTTCAATAGATTATTTTTTAATAGATAGGTGGTCGTACAATTAAGAGCTCTATAGCAGTTGATAATGGACGCAGTACTGAATTTATTCGTCGAAGAGACTATCCAGATAAATCTCAATGTTATGAATGTGGGGAAGAAGGTCATTTATCGTACAATTGCAGAAATAACACATTAGGACCAAGAAATCCGCCATTAAAAAAAATTCGAATTAGGAAGAAACATAAAAGCAATAACAGTCAGCATACAAATGATTTCAATAAAAATAGTGATGATGATTTAGGAGATGATAATTGGGAAGAAGAAGTAGAAACATTAAGTGCTGCCATTGCATTCGAGGTGACGATACTAAACAAAATATTGAAAAGTAGTGCATTACAAATATTTTATAAAATTTTATATTTTAGCAAAGACAAAAGGAATTAGAAATCAACCAAAGAGTAGGTGGTAAAGGATATGACGATGAGGATCGACTAATACAAAAACCAGGAAAACGATATAAGAAAAATCAATATTTCAGCGATGAGGAAGATTTCAGCGAATGAAATATCTATTACAAGGATTGAAAAATATCATTAAGCAAAAAAATAAATAAGAGTTCAATATTCCTGGAAAATTGTAATATAATGCAGTTTAAAAGACACTGGCTGTTAATTTTGTAAAATATTGCCTTTTATGTACATAGATTTTTAAATGTGTTAGTCTTTTATTTATGTATAAATTAGAATAACTTTAAAATGTAAAAAAATTATTTACAATAAATACATATAAAATTGGAATCAAAGTATATTGAACATAATAAACAATTTTCTATATAGATACCTTATTCGTTGTTTCAAAAAATATAATTATTGAAATGATGGAAATCCTTCAAACTGCGTCTGCACGTTTTTTTAACTAATTTAATTTTAGTTAGTAAATTTTTCCCACGTGGCGCTACAAACTTTGTACCAACTTTTAATACGTGAGCTTGGACCTCTTGGTATGTGCTGTATTTCCATTAGTTCCGGAACATGATTTAATTCGTTTGAAAACTCAACCTTTTAAAAGTTATTAAATGATTCCTACAATTAATCGTTCCTCTTTGGAAATTCATTTTTGTACAAAATTGAATGAGTCGTAGTTGCAATAACCATGTGTTGATAGATTAAGTTGTAAATAGAAAACAGTTCCATTATATAACCTTAAAAAGTAAAAGAATGTAATTTTACTATAATTATTTTCAAACAATGTCAGGTCTAGGTTTAATTAGTACGTACGCTTCCGATTCTGAAGATGACGAAGTTATTAAGGATAACACTAATATATCCGATGCAGTTCCTAAGCGGTATTTACGTCGTTTATTTTCAACAATTGGGTTGTGTATAAATGTTTATAAATATTTCGATACAACAGATTTTTATCGTTCGCTAGAAATGTTAAAATGATATTTGTGAGGCATATTTGAGATGAATTTAACGAATTGCTTTTTCAATTTTACTAAGAAATTGTATCTATTATAATTATAATATTTATATTCGCATAAAAATGATTCATCATATCACTTTTTCTGAAATGGTTATAGTTAATTTTTATATTATAGTCTACCTTTACCTGAAAGCATCGCAACATGGAAAGGTGTCCCACATCATGAGGAAGTCAATGATGATCCTGTAAAACATGATGGACGAGTAAGAAGTTTCAAACACGAACGTGGCAATTGGGCTACATTGGTTTATATTGATTGTCAGTATTAAAAAAAGAAAAACAATGTAATAGTGTTTCAGTAACATAAGTAACTTAAAATTATAGATGAACCTAGCGAAGCCATACTTTCATGGATGCTGTCAGTATTAAAAGACCTACCAATTAAATGTAATATATTTTCTGAGCAGTTTCACATTAGTGTAACAAGAACTTTAGTCTTGAAATATCATTGGATTGATTCGTTCGTAACAGAAATTAAAAAATTATGTGAAGGGACAGATCAATTCAGTTTAGAACTTTTGAATGTACGTGCATACTGTAACGACGAAAAAACACGTACATTTCTCGGGATAGAATGTGTAGATTACAAAAGTGTCCTTGGTCATTTTATAGAGAATCTTAATCATTTTCTTGCCGAGTATGAATTACCACCCTTTTATGAGGTAAGACATTCTAGTCTTTAGAACACATATATTTGATATTGAATAATAACAGTTTGTTTGAATAATATACTTTATAAAGAATACCAACAATTTATTATATTTCATTTGTAGGATACTTCCTACCATATTAGTTTTGCCTGGTGTCTGGGTGACGAAATATCAAATTTAAATAATTTTACTTCTTCTTTGACAGTCAGGTTAAATCAATTTCTAGCTGATCATGTAGAAGATAGATATGTACATGTTGACAAGGTACATCTGAAGATTGCAAATAAATTATATGCATTCAAATTAAAATAATAAATAACGAATTAAGAGTTTTTTTACAAAATCGTACTTTTTCTTTTTAATACCTATGATTATAGTCGAGACCTTGTTCCGTTCGATTATCACCTCTTCCGAGCGATGACATACTTTTCGAGCGGGAGGTGATTCAGCAATGGCGTCGATGACCTCAATGGTGGATAGGCGAAGCCTATTGCATTCGAAAAATTAGCAAGGTATCGCAGAAAGATATAATTGCCTTTAGAATAATGTCAGAAAACCGTAGATTAATTTAAATAATAATAAAATTTCTTAACATACAACGGGGAAATAACAGTAAATTAATGCGATTATATAATAACAATATATTTCATTACTATTATGCAAAGGCGAGTATCGCATTTAAATGTGTGAAATATTCAGAGTATCCACGATCAACATGGTATACGGAAATCATGTTAAAACTCGCCAGACTTCTAACTCATATAAAAACATAGCATCTCAGTAACCAAATTATTTACAATCGGTTTGTTCTTTTATACAAACGTGTTTCACATATTGTGCGTTTTTACAAAAGAAAGCGTAACTTATTATATACACAACAGAACATGGTTGTCCATCTCGCGAATATCAATCAGATCATAAAATATATTAAGTACACAACAAGGAATGTCTAAAAAGTCTTCGAATTGTATATGTCGAGACATACGCATAGTATACACAAAATACCGTGTTTACATATACTTCACCGAGTGTAATATTATTGCACCTAATTTTCATTAAAACTTATTGACATTTATCAACACTGTCCGTAAAACACGTCAGATATGTATTCAACATTCTCTTAAACGTACGCATTTTAAATTATAATATCTTGCAAGTCTTCGTTCACTTAACAATTACCTTATAATAACGAGCATTACCTTGTACACCAGATTTAATCACGAAACACGCGAGTGTTCAGCGTGAAAGAAACTCTTTCTTCTTTTATGAAATTCCGTTCGATCCATTCGTTGATTTTTCTGGTAAACATTTCATGATCGTCGGTTCTATCAACTTCCACACTTCGGCAAGCTGTAGCACATTTGGAGCAATAATCATTCACGTATTCGTCAAAGTTGTCGATAAATTATTACCGAATTATAAATATTATGTCACGGTTGAAAGAAACAAGAAGCTGCACTTACCAATTTCTCAATTTTCGACAGCATAAAACATCACAAGAAAATTCGATAAAATTCGGAATTTAATTTCAACAATTAAAGAATCTTACCTCGGAGTGCCCGCGTATTTGCACATTCACAAGACTCTGCAAAACAGTTGCCAGTATCTCCAAATGTGCGTGGACGAGTTGCGTTTCCATGTGTAAACAGTGCAATGAAAAACAATTCCGTAACTCGACATTGGCAATCACGGATTCCTGAGCGACCATCTTGTTCTCCAGATACTCGACGGTGTCGGTCTGCGAGAAAGATCAATTATAATTGAAAGCCCTCAGGGTCTGTAAGCATGCGTTTACGCAGCTACAGTACGGGTTTAGCGATCCCGAGGTACACGAGCTACAAGACATACTGCAAATAGTATCAAACCAATGCAGGAAGTCATGTAAGACAAATTTATGATAAGAAGAATGAAAAATAAGCCAGTAATAAGTAAGCATTAGTGTGATAACTTTGTATAATAAGTTACTCACTTAAATCAAATGAACGAATACATTTAATTGAAACGAGAACGTCAATTTTCTGGAATTTTCTTACGCGTGGTTCGTCATAAATTGGAACGAATTATGTAAGACGATACAAGTTCAGAATGAGCAATTTTAAAATAATCATGTAATGACCGTTACACGGCAACAATGAATTAGAGTTAAGTCACCGGATAAATATACACTGTGCAAGCCTGTAAATCATTGTCTGTACCTTGATTACCTCAGAGCAGAGGTAGATTAATCGGAGAATTGACTTACATCGGTACCGCGAATAACTCCTTGCATTTGGCGTTTCTTTAACGACAGCATCGTGGATAACGCGCGTTGATGATCAGCGCTGACTCCGCGTTCGTGCCTCTCGCATAGTATTCTGTGCGCCACCAAAATATCTAGAAGGAGATTCAGCCTTTCGCAGACCATTGTTTCTTCTCTGACTGCTTGTTGGAGTGCTCTCGTGGAGAGTAAGTTGAATTCTCTGCAATTACAGTTACGCATGAGAACTTTCGTACGACGAAGACGTAATAATCCGGAAGAAACGGAAGAACTTGAAATTGAGTCTGGTATTTCGCAATTGTAAACTTAAGACAGGGAAACGAGAACCTGGTCATCATCGTGTTACCTATAGTTAGCCAAATTTTCATTATGATTACTCCGTTGAAAAGTGCTGTTCCACGTATAACTATAAAGTTATTAAATTGCTATTCCATACAGCACGGAACATGGCAGGAATATTTTTGCGCGAGACTTGAAATACTTGAATTTCATATATCTGAATATAACTAACGTTCTGTATCGTACCTCTCTGTCGTTAGATTCTAGTACCTACTTCGAAATGATATGGAAACCCTTTTTCATCTCTTGCCAGATGGTAGATCCACCAGTGGCCCAAGCAGTGGTACCGTGCGGCTCCGAGGCTAAATTGTTCAGTTGCGTGCCTAATTCCGCCATGTCTACCGCGTAGCTATGAGACCTAATTGCCAGGCAATCGGCGATGTTTTTCAGCCGGGAGATGCCAAGCAGTATCACCCTGATCTGGTCACGACTGTTCGCGAATTCAGTCAACGTCTCCGGCGGCACTAACTCTTTCGCTTTAGAGGACAGTTCCGACGTGGCGAATTCGTCTGGCACTCGCCTGAATACTTCGCGAATTTTGTGCTGCGTCTCCTCGCCGGTGTAGGTGAAGAAAAATTGCACGATATGGTCTTTGCTCACTACCGGGTGGCGAGCGATCACAGTCAGGAATCTCAGGAGGGATCGTCTCCTTTCTTCCAAAAACTGCGAGTCCGCTGCGAGTAATAAAATATCATTGATTAGTTGAAGGCATTACAAGATTAAGATCGAACACAAGGTTGCTGAATAAAAGCTTTCACCTCCCACGATCTTCTTCGGTGGTAACTTCGGTATCAACCTGTACGGAAATCTTGCCAGGAGGAGCTCGTGCAACGATACGAAGTCATTGTAGCGTCTATAAACCACGGAATTGAATCTCTGAAAAATGAAAATTGTTGTACAATGTACGTCTCCATAATTCTTCGCGTTTTAAATACAGAGCAACCTCACAACATCGTATAATTTTTTACACGATACCTTGCTCGTCACTTGGTACTCCACGTGTTTTAGAAAAATCCCCTTCTTCTCTGGTACCAAGTTAACTTCTATCGTGTCCAGATTACAGATATCCGAGTACGTGAGATTCAATTTAGCGGGATTGCTGCCTTTGTGCAGCCTTTGAGCCAGAAGCGTTACTTCCGACAGGTCGCACAGAGTCGGAACAGGTAGATCTATTAAAAAGAAAAGGAATTCAAGCAACCCAGACTTAAGATAAACGATTATTCAAATCTGCATCCGTCGACAATCGTTAGAATAAAATTTCATCCCTGAGAGTCGTTAGCGTCGTTATATCTCGGAGAGCCAAGTCTTCAAAGCGAGCAATTTCTCTGGGTATCATTATTCCCATCGTCGCAACCATAACCTCCATGTTCTAAAAGACTTTCTTGACCTATGCCGTCGTTCACAATACCAGCAGAGGTGAAACTCATTCCCAGACATTGTACAGAGTGTCCCCAAATGATTCAGCATCTCACTTCGTATCAGAAGATGCGGTTCAAGGGCAAAACGATAAGGGATTTTTATTAAACAATTAATTCTGCTACGCACGTGGGAATATCACACGGAGGAAAGATGTCGGAGACTCGAAGGGTCGCTCGGCGCTGTTTAAGGCCAAGGTTGAACTCCAGTAGCGAGGACCATTACGTCCGAGTCCTTTCATTGCATAATCTCCGACTTATAGCCTCTGAAGTAGTGGCAGATTTTAATCAACACCATGGGAGGAATGTCGACGGTCGCTATTCTCCAACGGAGAGAAGCGAACCTTAGAGGGCTCGTCGGGCAGACAAACAAGACTGAATTAGGTTGAAACTCGTCAAGTAGGAACAATCGAAGACGGGTGCTACAGAATGATAAGTCCAAATTCGAGATCCGTGGTTAGCGTACCGGTTCGTCTCGACCGGTTTTGAGGAATGTAACCAATTGGCGTCCTCTACGGTGGACTCTTCCCCCCTCCTTTGAGACATCAAAGGTTCATTCTAAGAAATATATAAGACCTAATACTACAACGTCGTGGTTAGTTGCTGACGTTGGTTGAGAAAACGACACACTTTGTTTTTCGTCGGTAGCCAGTTCGAAGCGTGTAGATGGAAACGTTCGCGGAGATTTTATTTTTTTTCGATGGCGTTATCACGTCTGCATTACCGCTGAAGAAAGTCGAGGAACCCGGTTATCGCGTGCACGTATTTTTAGAACTACAAGAAAGCTTTTACGCCGATAGTTCGCGTGATTGAATCGTACATTTTCTTATTTGCGTTTCGACTTTCAACCGTATTGGTCGAAGAGTAATGTTTGCCGAGCCCTAGAGGTATAAGCCACCATGTAAAATTTGTATGATAGCCGACTTTCCACAGATTTCTAATGCTTCTTTCGTTAATACAGTGATTTAATATTTCGTTTTCCATAAGTGTGCATACCTTTTGGTTATATTTAGCGTGTATTTGTCGTATCAGCTTGTATCAGAAATGCACCTAATCCGCGGTCTAGCGATAAGCGTGTCTTTTTACCGATAAGAAAGCAAGCACTTATTACGGTGGTCAGTGACACCATTAAAAACCGGGTTTCTTCGCATGTCCACTGTCCACATATCAAAAGAGGTGTAGTCTGTAAAGTGCCGGGAACAATGATACGTAATACGAAACCGTACAAGTGGAGAGCTCAAGTGCACTCGTACCCGGCGAAGATTCAAAGTCGATTTTCTCGAAAACAAAGCCTCACACGAAAAATTTTTATTCTATATTTTCGACTTATTTTTTCATACAGAATCACCCCATTTTCGCTTTTACCACCATTTACCCTGCATATACTTAACCCAGTTAACTATTTTATTAGCGTAAATGCGCTAACCTTGAGATTCAGAATTCTCCAACAGTTTGTCGCTTGGTTGCTTTCCTTGCTGAGCAAATGCGACTAGAGCGAGGCCCTTGTACAATCCACTCCTGGTCAGGTAACCCGTCTTGCTGTCCACGAGTTCCCATATCTAGAATTAAAAAAGTAAAAGTAATTTTAATTAAAACATTATCTTTTTAAAAAATAAAAGAAAAAATATTTTTATTCATACAATGCTTAAAAAATTCTATAATGAATAAAGCTTCGATGTCGCGGTTAAAGAAGAACGTTGAATTCTTGCACGATGAATTATTCACATTCTATTTATACATCATTTATTCGGTTATTTTCGTACAAGGCTGCTCCACATAAAATGCGTACGGTGCGATTAATAATACTATCGCGAGACCAATAATAACATAGCGATCGATGCATGAATTGTCAGATTTCAATGGCCATTTGTTAAAATTGAAAACACCGTTGAGTAACTTGTTATGCGTTCGCGATAATCAGTGGCTCAATTTAGAACGTTGAAAGGCGCACCTAGTGGAAAATATCATGGTTGCGAGCGTGAAACCCATGGAAAAGGTTTCCAAGGAAAGCTACGTGAAAGATGAACAGAGAATATTCCTGGTCTTATTCCAAGTAGAGAGTACTTTCTCGATGCGTAACAAAAACATTAAAAGGTTCCAGAGTTGTACAAAATAATTATGTCCATTGTCGACTCTTATCGGAAACAAACAGTGGGTGGCAGTTCTCCAATTATAGCGAGAATCACCGAACGAATCATAGCACGAAGAGTACTCTTATAAATATATTTAAAAAAAAAAAAAAAAATAATGGAAGAGAAATTGAATCGAAAAAAGTAGTTAATTTAAAGGCTTAATGTGAAAACAGATGATTAGTTGCAAGTTGCAACGAGCACGCTAGACTCTAACGGTACAACCTCGGTTAACACTGTGGACGATTCCTAAGGATTAGGCCATAAATGAAAGTAACTGCATTCCGAGAATTTTTATATCTTGCTGCGTCATTCCACTACTCCTGCTTTCGTTCCCACCACTTCTCTTTCACCAGACTCGGCAGAAACTGCACTTTACGTGCATATAGATTTCTAAACCGACGATCTCATCCTTCGACGATCGAAGATTTTTGACAAAAATTGGTAGATTAATTTGTTTACATTTTTTAATTACGCCATTCCGTGGAGTGGCGGAGACAGGTGTGGAACGTAACAATGTTGACACGTTAGCAAAAATGTTCTATTATCATTCAAATTATGAGAGAGCGTCGTACTCGCTTCATTCACACAAATGTGATGTCGTACACAGTGGTTTCTATTCCAATAGAGCTGTCGTTAGAGTACATGTATATTCGGTACGTGGCAAGAGAATAAATGCTTTCATTACTGCGCTCGTAACACAAATTTCCATAACGCGATGAAGTAACGGGACGCCGTTAAACTTCCTTTTATCAAATCGCATCGTTAGACATGATTTGATAACCAAGTGGTTCGGATGCTGAAACATAGGAGAGAACAGGAACGGATAAAAACAGATTTGATTTGGGAAGATCGGAGCGCGTCCAGAAGTCGGGTAGCTGGAAAAGCGGTCGAATGGAAAAATCGAAAAAGCAAATGCAGACACGATCGAGCGTAAACCTGCGCATAAGTGGCACTCGCCGTGCGTGTTCTTCGCGTTCGAAAGCGTTTGGGTCCTTGTCTTCTCATTGGTTTTACGAGTGTCGTTAAACCCTAATCGTCGATCGAGTTCACCAAGAGGAAATTACAATGGAAATAGGTTCCCTGTTCGTGTGAACGGTGCTCGCGAACAATCGTCGAGAAAGCTGAGAGTTTGCTCGTCGCGAGCGCGGCTTTTCAGCTATCGGCCTCAATGGCTCCCTTCACGTTTTTCGAATAGTATTTTCAAATAGAAATACCGCATTGAAATTCCAACGCTTTTTAGCCAACTGTGCGGCACACATGGACGAATAATCGCGGAATAAATATTTACGTAATTCACATTTTGTCACATGACAAATTTTTGTTCTCGCCTCGAGTTACTAGGCACATCCTGTTTTTAAATCGAAGCACGACGAAGACTGGTTCATAGCAGCCTGGAGGTGATGTTTTGCGCACACAGACGAGCGTGATACGGACTATGATAAGATTTCTTGATATTAAGAATTCTACATTTGTTAGTTGCTAGAACGATACAACAACCTTTGCATTCCAACAATTTGTTTTGATACGAGCGACTTCGAAGCAATTTTCGGTGTATATTTAACAAATTCATAATGTTACTTTCGCGCCAAAAATATTTGTAAATACCCAGAATGAACGTTCAACTCTGTAAGACACGAATGGGAAAGTACTGGCCAGCAGGAAGAGGAAAGATGCGCGCACGCGCGTATCGTATAAAGCACGAAACAACTGGAACGTCATTAAACAAAATTATTGTAGAGGGTTTGGGGGAAGGGAGGTATCCGCGGAAGTTTTATCTTACGCGAGTGTTTGTGTTCGTGTCGAGCGTCCCGTGGTACGCTCACACAAACAACCGCATCCATTGTGAAACAGCTCAACAGCTGTTCGCAACGATTTCTGCATGTTTATCGACAACTATATTAAAATTGAGGAGGAATAATGGAAATTTAAAAATAATGGAAATTACGGTGGCAAACGGGATAATTAAATTGACAAAACGAAATTATGTAAAGATATGTAATGATCTTCATGAAATGCATCGTTTGTGTACATTGAAGAAATTTATTTACAATGTGTAGTTTGCAGTAATCGATGTTGTACGATCATTAATCGTTTTGTTAAAGAGGAATCGTAGAATGTCTTCCTTATAAAAGTACCTGCTGCGTTACATCACGCTTAGTGTACATGAGTAACACGGTAAAAATGTTTATATGAATAGCAATGTAGTTGGATTCATGAGAGAATACGTACACTGGAAACGATTGCATCTTACAATTGAGATGTTCAGGTATCTTACAAACGAATCGCAATGGTCGGCGTATACCTTATATAAATAAAACTAGTCTCGCGTAAATAAAGCAACAAACTTTCAAGTTTATTCGTCAGAAATTGAACCCTCGCGCAACATATGGGAACCTAACTCCGCGAACCATGCCACGCTGTCGCGTTTAGCATGACGGATTATCATACGATAGATAAGGATCCCAGAAATTTTAATTTCAAATATTTTCTACATTAAACGTTTATCCCCCACCGTCAACGTAAAGCAAATTTACAGCCTTTGGCGAAATACCAGATAAAATTTATCTAATTTATTCCAGACACAAATGATGTCTCTGCTTCACACTTGACGCGTGACTATATCGTTTGACATTCTATGAATCACAGCAGTTTATTTCCTTAATAGAAACGGTAGGTACGAGTCCAATATTTCCAACTCAATGCTGCGACAGTTTCTATTCGAAGTGATAACAGCAGACTACACAAATTCAGAAATGGCAAATTTCCATTCAATGTATGCCCTCAGTGATTACAACGCTGCTTTGGCAAGGCACCTGTGCATGGAACGTCTTTCTCGGTTGTCTGCCAAATGGGAAAGCGGTGGAAAGAATACACAAACGCTTACGGGACATTGGCTCATTAGTAAAACGTGCTTCCATCAGTGGTAGACTCACAATTAGAACCGCTACGACAGAACGATGCCGCATGCCACATCTCCGATGCATTTTTATTTTCAAATTTCTTCTTTCATATTTTGCCTTGACTTTAAGAGGTTGTTAATCGTCGATCCGTGAGGACATTTTACAATGGTTCATGCCTAGATGCTGCGAACAGTGTGGTAGCGATAATCGATAGTCCAAAGCTATTGTTAACGATCGAGGTGGGCGATAACCCATAGATCCAAGGAGCGCACTTTGTATCGCCTTACACGATGTGTATCATTCAGGACCGTCCTATTCATAGAGATCTGCGATGACTAGCGATAAAGCGGCGACCCACGTAACGTTATTTTGATTGTGTCATTAGTCAATGAACGAGACGCGACGTTCAATCCCTATTACGACGTTTCGTGTCGTGTCACTTTATAGCTTCTAGTTTCTTCTATAATCGTGCACGGTCTCTGGGTTTATTTTTTTCCAAAGTATATCCTGAAAACGGTTAGATGGCGATAGGGGAATGTGTTCCTCGAATATTCGATTCCGTAATGCTAGGCAATAGGCGACTGTAAACGTTGAAACCTGTCTTTCTAATCATGAAAGCCATGAATACTTGTAAATACATTTATGGTTGTAGTTGACCCTGGTGCGTAATCTTCCACTATTACGAAGGGGCGTTCACGCAGACTGTCGTCAGCGGGCGTGTTAATGATAAAACAACGATATCGACTGGAGACACGAGACAATGCAGAAGGAAAGCTTCGTTCAAAGGGGAAAGGAAATCGGTAACGACAATTAACACATTCGGGACCAGCAGATAGTTTACGTAAAATAATAAAATTCTGAAGCTGGACATAGTGTATAAAATAAAAAGATTTTCATAATTTTTGTTATAACCAGGAATAGAATTTTAAGTGACTAATAACTGTTTGTGTAGAAGTGATTAATAATCTTCGAAAAATGATGAACCAAAGTCGATAGATCCTGGAGTGCATCAAAATCTCCTTTTACTCTCGTCTCGTGAATTAAAGTTATTTTTAATCGCCAATTGCGAAAATGATCGAGAGTAAGTTCTGCGTTTCCGTAACGCGTGAAAATTGAAAAAAGAAAAAAAAACAAATAAACAAACTTCTGTATCGTTTCTGTTTAGGTTATAGTAATCGCATACGATACCGCGTCCCGGAGGTTAATCATCCGGAGTCGCGTCACGCTCGTAAAAATTCTGAAACCGTTTTCCTCGCGAGGAACCGCTATGCAAAGAATTTATTCGTATGGCAACCGTTTCGGCACGTAGTCCGTATACCGTTGCGTGTACACACATTCGATTCGTTATCTAACCGTGTCAGTATAATTTGCGTCAACTAACGTAATTGAACCGGCACTGATATATTAATGAACATTAAATACCTTCACAATTATTAGCAATATAAATTGCTCGACGGCAATTGGAGGTGAACGATCGTTGTTGAAAGAATTCGTACCGCGAGAAGGACGAAGCAATACGACTTGTTTGAGAATAATTGATACGCGCGATTGATATATAATAAATTACGATTTGGAGGTCAGAAATTATTCCAGGAGGAATATAAAATTAATATCCGTCGATCGGATGGTAATGGAAAAGTAGCTTGTACAGCGAATATAAAATTAATACGAGTATTGGCGAATACGAATTGGGATGTCCATTATTACGCATTCTTCGTTGGCGTATGGCAATAAAAACAACGAAAATTCCGAGGTCCGAAGCGGAAGATAGAGTGCTAAATATAAACTTTCAATCGGTGAACTATAATCTGAAAGCAACATCTTTCCGCGGGTCTGGAGTTATTAATTTGTCCGTTAAAGCTCTCATTATCACGGATGCACAACTACAGTTCAACAAATAAAGATGGCGCACGTTAAATAATCTTCGTCCATTTATTTAGCGTGCATATAAATTCCAACTTTAAACAAATCGAGACTATTCAATTCGCGTACAATTTTTTACTTCCTCGTATCAAAATTATACGAAATTAAACAAATAAAAATTTAATTACTATGTATTCTTGATCGAACGAACGTCACGAATCAATTGCTGTATGTTGCTTTTATTGGCCGTCTGTTATTCGAATTAAATGTTGTTCGTCTTTGTTTGACATTAAAGAATCTGATATTTAAAGTTCAAGGTAGAGGTGAATATAGATTTAATTGAAATTCGTGGAAATCTAGTTAGCAGCGAGTATTCGTCATCCACTGTCTGCCAATCTGACAGTGAGTAATCGCTGTTCGATACGGAAGAAGTTATAGTCACATAACATTAACCAGTTAACGCTTTAACCCGAGTATCGGGTTCGTACTGCATTTTTCCGCCAGTGTGATTTAAGCCGGACTGCAAACGCAATAATAACAAAATCGAAATAAATATCAGCAAACAAATAGATAAGTAACAATTTACAGTAACAAAGGTAACAATAAATAACAAAATGACGATTAAATATTTCTACTTAAACCGAAGTTATGAATGATGGAATATAAATGCAGAGAATTCATGTTTACAGTAAAAATAATTTAAGTAAAGATCGGAGGTGCAAGAAGAGAGTGGAAAGTAAGAGAATGGAGGGCAGAGACGTCAGAAAGAGAGAGACAAGAGAAGAATGAGAGCATACCTGACTGAGAACGGAGCTACTCAGCTGGGACTTGACAAGAAGGGATTTAAACACCTCTCGTTCCACATTTCCACTCGTGGGAGAGCAAATCTTCTCGTAGACTTCTCTGTAGAACGGTGGTATGCAGCCTGGTGGTTCCGTGCGCCGACGGAAAGCAAAATAAAACGGCATCACTTCGCGGGAAATTACGTGTGTCACACTTTCACGCATTGAAAATATTAACCGAAAGAATCTATCGTCGATAAAGACCGACAAATATTAGGTGTGCTAAAGTAGAGTAATATTCTGTAAACGCGTTTATCTTGAGTCACATGGATAGCAAGAAATCAAGGCAACGAAGGCACACGTGCGTATTCCAACGCACGTCACATGCGGCCACATGTGTCTTCGGTTGCTTTGATTTCTACGCGACTTTCGCTATTTTGCGTCTAATAAATATGTTACATACGGATCTATTTTTTGAAGAAGTTAGAGAAAGTAAAGGTTTCTTAAATCCACAGAGGAAATTTGGGGGTTTAAATAGTCGAGACACCGATGTACTATAGTAATCGAGAGTTAGCGAGGTTCGACGTGCTAAAAGGGGATACGAGTTGCTTTTAAAAACCGGACGACCTCGGGGAGACCTTGTCAAAGATGCGTGCGGTACACAAGTTCATCATTTACCGAACGACAGATCGGTCGACGCCATGTTGGATCACTTGTTGATCATCCGGAATCCTGTTAGATCGTTGCACTGGGGAGTTTGCGAAATTACAGGCGCGTCGGCGGATCGTCCTCGCCTTAATGATTTACGTGCACTCGCGTTGGGTTTTTCGAACAATACGATACAACCGACCGGCGAGATGCGAACGACAACAAATAAACACTGACGACACTCGCCATTGCCGTGTGGCGCACAACTGAAGACTAAACTAAACCACGATTTCTCTGGCCGGCCGTTCTTGTTTCTCCCGCCGCGCATGCGTTCTTTCGCCCGTTCGATTACGAAGTAATAGTAGTCCGTGTTTCTCAGGAAATTTATATTTAGTTATTTTCTGTGATTTATAAGCGAAACAGTGTAACATTGCAGTCGAGTTAACGAATGTATCGTGTAATACACATTACGAGAATTTAAATAACGATCTACATTATCTACAAAGCTAAGACAAATGCAACGGTACAGCCATCTAGTGGCGACAGGACCAAACCGTTGTAAACGTCTGCTGGTGCGATGATAACGTTTTATCGACCGTTCAGTCGGTATGTAGCTTAGCAACATGTTTCACAGATTGTCCACCGCGGCGCTCTGGCAAACTCCTAGAAGCGTCGCGGGATATTTCAAGTTTTTAAAGAAAACAGACTACAAACTTTTATTAAATATCCTCTTTACGATCTTTTCTTTTCTTTTCCTTTGGTAGTAGCTAAATCGAGTTTATGCTCCAGTTGAAATTTTGCAAAATGTCAAGTCCTCTTTAAAAATATACGAAAATCTATAAAAAATTTGAAACTTAATAGTTCCATGAGATTGTTCTTTATATTTTTTACCAATTTATTGTGTCACCTTGAACGACATACTTATCCCGGGTGTTCTGAAAAATGACACTCGTTTGAAAAACTGCAGGATTCACCAAACGATTGTACGAACAGGCTTAACCCCAGTTTTAACAGAATCTTTCTGTTCATCGCGCGTTGCACTTTATTCCTATGTAGGTATACATGTAGGTACAGCCTGGCATCAGCATTCGACGTGCTATCGAGGTCACATGTAAATATGACTCCAGGATTGAAACCGAATATCTCCGCTTTTCTATGCCTCGCTCGCGCCGTTAGGCGAATAGTAAATTCAGTTGTGGTTTTTTAAGCTCTAGTTTTTCTTTCCACGGGAATTCCAACATCCTTTGTTTAATCTTTCTCTGTGTTGCGACATAACACGTCTACGTCGAGAGTGATAAAAAAGTCTCCATCGATTCGAAATAGTCAGCGTTATCGTTCCGTTAATTCTTCCCGTTATAGACGAAAGTTATTATTCATTATAAACGAACAGTATTATCGTGGCCATTCGAGCCGAAGCATAATACAATTTCTGGTACGAAATAAAACAACTTTCCTTCCATGAAGCGAACCAACAATTCATCAAATGTACGCGAATAACGCAGAATTTTTCTCTTTTATTCACAAAGTCTAAACGTCACGGAAATTACTGCAAAACACTTGGCGAAGCACGAAAACACTTCCAACGAGCGCGAATTGAGCGTCAAAGTAAAAGACGAAGGATGTAAAAAAGAGAAACGAAAAGAGTAAGAAAAAATAGAGAAACGTCGAGTCATCGAGCATAGAAATCGTTGATCAAAGCCGCCACATGTGGTTATGTGGTTTTCCCACTAATGACTGGTACAACTTCAAAAACTAACTTTAACAAACAGTCTCGACGGTTTTCGTGCCTTTCCGGTAGAGCTGAACTCGACATAGGGTTTTCTAATAATTCGTAAGCTGCTGGTTTCGTTACTTCTTCTTAGTACAAGTGGTTTCTCGTAATTGATTTTTTTTTTTTTGTCTTCTTCGCATAACCAACTGTACTAATAATAACTACCATCAGCCAATTTGCGACTGTATACAATCACCGATTACATGCTTTCACGCCTACATCTATACGGACGAGTGAGCACTTCGACGGATAACTTATTCGAGTTGGAGCACGAGGGTCACATTTCTCGCTAAAACAACGCCATTTATCGTACCTCGAAGAAAAGTAAGCAGTGCTTTACCGGAAACGCGCACCACGCGCGCCTAATACTTTTAAACGCGTCTGTATTCGAAACGATCAAAAGGAAAAGAGGTTTAGGCTCGCGTAGGCTGACTGAGAGCTGGCCTGCGGGGTGGGTGGGGGGTGGGTGCGAGTGTACGCGTCGTACTTTGAGCAACTTCAAAAGCACGTGTGAGTTTTATTAAAGAAAAGGGGGAAAGAGCGAGAAAAGAGAAAGAAAGGGAAAAGGAAAGAGATAGAGGAGGCAAAAGGGAAAGTGGAGAGAGCGAGAGGACGACGTAGGATCGATGGAGAGACGTAGGTGCAAGCGAAGGGTAGGGGGATTGGTTGGGGAGGAAAAAACTGGGAACGAACGAGCTAGCGGAACTGCGTGTCACGATATGAGGCTAGGGGTCGGGGCGCTTTGACTTTGACGTGCAATTAAAAGTGCATTTTCCGCTCAGCAGACGTTTAGCGGATTCGAAGTACCTTGGAAAACGTTCACCCGAACGGCCACCACCGGGTAAGTCATAAGCTCCGTGAAAATTTTCAGACGGTTCGACGTGCGCGCCACCTGTCGCGACTTCACAGGCAGCGCGCTGCCGAAGAGGAAAACGAGTCGTCGGTGACGGCGCACGAAAGAGGAAACGGGAGCGGCGACGAGGGCGGTGGGGTTGGTGATGGCGAGCAAAGGAAGAGGTGAAAAAGGGCGTCGACGATGAGGAGAAGGAGGCTAAGGGTAGCAGTAGGAGAGGACGAAGAAACGCACTTGCCTTTGATATTTATTCTCGCGCGCGTGGCTGGCCTAAATAAGCACCTTTCCGCGGGAAACGCTCTCGCGCAAAAGCACGAAAACTGACGCTGGCAAGGATTTTTATTTTGCACCCTCTCTCGCGTTTTCCCTTGCACGCCTGGCTCCTCGCTCTTCCGCCTCTCCCTTGCCGTTTACCTTTTGTTCGAGCCCGTAAAGGAGTTCGATGGGTCCACGGACAAGGCCACCTCGTTCCTAGTTTGGGGGCCACGCGTTTTTCTTTTAATTTTAAAGATTAAGTAACGCGAAATAGGAAAGCAGAGGACCAGATCTGGCCTGCGGCTAAACCGTTCGCTAGCATACGCGTCTCGCAGTTTTTCACCCTCTCGATCTTTGTTCTTTTTGCTGTCAATCACGGTCTCCTTTGTCGCGAACTTCTGTAATGACGTTTTAACGGGAGGCTTGCGTGGCCTGCGACTTTGTTTTCGGCGAGCCCGTCCAGCGCTTGTTTGGTTTTTCCTTTCGCGAGGCAATTCTCGTATGACGAATAGCGCAATCGGTGGCTTTATTTGTCGTCACGGTGCAATCTTGGCAGATCGACGCCCACGTGATTGGGGCATTGTCGAATTATTCGAAATAACGGGGGAAATATTCCTTTGTATCCTAAACAGTATCCAATCGAATAATGAGAATGAAATTATCGCGCAAACGAATTGATCGTTATTTTTCCTACGAATAAATATCACGAAACCGGTGGATGGTAGACAGATTATTTGCTGATTCTATCCCGTGCCTATTGTACGAACGAAATTTTCTTCGCCTCTGAATCGTGAAAACGTGTCGCCATTGATAGTCTATTATTCTAGAAATATTGTTCCGCGGCATTCACGGTGGCTCGCGGTTTCAGTACCTTGTCAAAACATTTGAAATAGTTCGAGCGACAATGACGTAGAAAAACGATCAGTTTATACACATGGACCTCTCTATTGATTAATTTTCAAGTGAAAAATTGCTATTCGATTGTCGGATTTCAAAAAACAGTCCAACTCCCTCGCGAATCTGCTCGGTATGCATTCGTACGAAATATAATATTTGTGAAGGAAAATACTCGAAACAAAAGTTCATGGAAACCCAGAAACAAAACGACTTCCGCGATTTAGAACATGAATTTCAAACACCACAACTATTGTGCAATCGTGTGGACTATCGACGTATTGATTTTCAGTCGTTGCCTTTCAATATTGAATTCATTCAAGATACGCTTTTAATGGATCGAGCGTATTTCTATCGGTATATTTCCCGCTGAATTATTTTAAATGGCGGTCAATTCGTTTACGCCTAAATGCCATAAATGGCATCGATTTCGTTCGATTAAAATACCAGGGGAATACCTACACGCATTTGTTGTTTCGCGCAAGAAAGAGAAGCCTTGGGAAAAAGAGATTTTTGCAGTCGGTCTTAAAACTTAATCTACAAAAAGGAAACGCACAATTGACACCGCGATAACGTTCAAATTTGTTCGAAACTGCAGCGAAATGATACGTTGAGAATTTCGGAGCTGAATAATCTTTTTTGGTTCAATCCGCAAAAATCAGCTCGTAAAATGGCCGTCTAGACCAAAATACTCCCTTAACGTGGCGGGAACCTCAATTCGCTTAGCAGGAACACGAAGGAAACGTACCGCTTTTTAACGAGTCGGGAATGGGGAGCGTTTTTGTTTCATTCGTATTCCGCACGTATGATTTGCCTCGTGTGCGGACCGCAATTTCCGACGCTACTTATGAGACCAATCAGGGACTCACACCGAAAGATCGAAGTGTAAATTGTTGGCTACTTCGAATTACAGACGGAAGGGGACTGCAAACCCAGGGGAACTTCTTTCTAACGACTCTCCGATGTGGTCTGGCTCGAGTATTTTAATAAGTAACGACCGTTTAACTCAACGCGCAACAGAAACATAATTGTAACCGCTTTAATGAAAAGCGTAAACGAAACGAAATTGCTTGCTATAATTCGCTTAATCGAGAAATTTAAAAGTTGACGACGGACGGATACTCATTTCAGGGTAACGGAATGGTAATGGATGTACCATTAGTTTTTCAGATCCTGTTATTAGCTTGCTTTGTAAGAAAACGGAACGTAAAGGTGTATACTTCGCTCTCGTTAAGCTAAGTTCATTTTTAGGTTTCATCTAGACACTTTAGGAGAAAAACAATTTTCTACTGTCCAACTTTTAAAATTACGAGTCTCGCGACTTTTCATTTTCAAAACGACGCAGACACGAGTAGTTCAGCGCCTTTTTTGCCAATAGGTGTTTTTTTTTTCAGATGGCGATAAACCTTATTTTCGGAACAACACCGAAAAAGTTGAGAACGGTAACTTCGTAACGACGTTTGGGCGAGTTTTGACAGCCGTACGTGATCGAGGGCGGTGAGAACGCCTCCCCTCGGAGTGGAAAAGGTGCCGAAATTTGAATAACAGCGTTTAGAGAACTCGTTCAACGGTGTAAAGGCACCTAAGAGAGCAATGGATATTTGTGGTAACAGATACACACTTTCCCTTGACGCTAAGAAACTTTGAAAGATATTTCTCTTCTCTGTGCACTTTTCTATCTCACGATCGAACATGGGAGCCACTGTTTCCAGCACTTTGCTAATAATTTATCCTTACCGTTTATCTATCGATTTTCAGTAGCAAGTTCAATCGTTGTCTTGGAATTATCTGGAACTACTATTCCAAAAGAAAAATATACTAGCGCGTAGAAAAAAAGTAGTTCCATTCACGCGCAAGAGATGAGAAGTGTTGTAGTCATCGCGAACAAAGAGAACACGTTTACGGCAAGAAACTTTTGATTTATAGGCAAAATTACTATTCTTGTGGCATGCTGGTCTATAGTACACCCCAGCGTATTC